TTAGATTTATATTAAAGTTTAAAGTTAGATTTAGATTATTTGAATTGAACCTCAAAGAAGGTTTATCGGATGAACTTTGGCCCCTTTTCAAGCAATAGTGTTTACAAAATAATATTATTAGAAAAAAAAAAATCCAATTTTATCAATATTCTACTTACTTTTTGATATTTTAGTAAAATAATAATATGTGCGTTTTATTTTGTCACATTTTTGTTATCAATTGTTTTCGTGAATGCTTGAATATTCCAACTTTTCCTCACATATTAAAAAGCAATAACAATACTGTGGAAATTATGTTGTCATTCATAACATTGTGACGTTGAAATGTTGTCATTTACTAGCTAGATGGACCTAATAATAGAGAGTCAAAATATGGTTATTAATTTTATTTCCTATATATTCTTGATGGACCTAATATCTCATATAATTAAATTATATTGTAGACTCAATAAAATGTGCATCTGCACTAATTAATTTCTGAATAATTTTGGTGCCATATTAGTCATTTTATTGTGGATATACTTTTCCGAGCGTTTCATAAGTTTATTTGTTGATTTCACCTATTAATTTGTTAGAACATAATCGCCCCACATTATTTCATTTTACTTTTTTTAATTGGTCTTGTATGATTTATTACATTGCTTGATTTATTTTTTATTTCTATAAGTACGACATTTAACAATGAAACATATACGAACTATTTATAAATGAGTCATGAACAAAAAGAAATTTATAGGTGAATGATTTAATTTTCTCTTATAAAAAGTTACCGAGTAGTGTACGTGGCAAGTAGAGATACATCTTAATATGCAGACGGAGTTTGGTAAGTAATCGTTTTGGGCTATATATGATTTAGTCCAACATAATGCAACAATGTATCGGTCCATTTATGTTGTAGTGTTCAGCAATTCAATAGGAAATAAGCCCAATTATAAATGTCCTCAATTATGGGCTGATAAATTGGGTCGCCACTCCATTAAGCCCAACTAGTTTAATTAACAACTAGCCCAATATAAATAAAACATTAACAATCCGCATTCACATCGGTTGATAATCATCGTCACTCTCAACAACCCATCGGAATCAAAGTCAGATCCCCACAAGCACCCAAACTCCCGATGGCATCAACCCTACTCTCCGGCTTCAAATACTCCGACAGCCTCACCGTCGTCGGAATCTCCCTCTGCACCGCCGTCGTGTGCGAAGCCATCTCGTGGCTGCTCATCTACCGCACCGCCTCATACAAATCCCTCAAGTCCACCATCGACAAGGCCTCCAAAAAGCTCGAGACGATGAAGACGACCGACGCGAACCCCACCACCGCGGCCCTTCTCAAGAAATCGTCCAAGAATAAGAAGATGGACCGCGTAGAGACCTCGCTGAAGGAGTCCAGCCGCGACCTCTCGATGTTCAAGTTCAAATCCGGTGCCGTCGTCGCCCTTGTTCTCTTCATGGTGTTCGGGCTGCTCAACAGCTTGTTCGAGGGGAAAGTCATCGCGAAGATTCCGTTCGTCCCGATACGATTGGTGCAGAAGATGAGCCACAGGGGATTGTCTGGGGACGACATGACGGATTGCTCGATGGCGTTTTTGTACCTGTTGTGTTCGATTAGTATTAGGACCAATTTGCAGAAGTTCTTGGGATTTTCGCCGCCACGTGGAGCTGCCGGCGCCGGATTTTTCCCCATGCCCGATCCCAAGTCCAGCTGAGGATGAAAGTTGTTAGAATATCACTTGTGAGTTCTTAATAAAAGTGATGTTGTTTCAGCTGGTTTTCGGTATCGGTGGTTTTTTCTTGCTTCGTTTCTTCCATATTTTGAGTTCATTCATGACTAAATGTTTGTGACAATGTTTACTTTCACTTTCTTTTAGATGGTTTGGATACTAATAAGCTGTAATTTTACTCGATTATTTTTGTTTTACTAAAGCTTCCTGTCAAGATACCTGCTCCTTGAATTTTCTGGATAATTGATTGATTACTTGTTCAAGTTTGTTACTTTTCTATGCTTGATGCTATCTTATTAACCGAAAATGATACGAAAAAAGAGAGGACTTTACTGTTTTCCTTGAATTACAATCACTATGTAGCTTGTTTCCCCCATGAGCATGGCTTAAGCTATAAGGTATGCAAGTAAAAATTTTGTTGAACGAAATTTTCATTTATGAGATTTGCTTGTAGGTCTAAATTTAGTTGCCTTCTTAGCTCGTAAATTATCCGACTGTTTCGATGATAGCTGGCCTTCCGAGACTTTTACTGTAAAATGCAAACAGTCTCAGAGTTAGATTTGTTATGAAGCTTCTTAATAAACAGATTGTATGTAGTAACACCTTGGTCACTGCATAAATTTTGAGTTATTAATCCCTTCAACCCAATTGCTGTAATTGTACATCGACTTCTGATTCAGTTCACTCCAGTTTTGTTATTGATTGGGTTGCCTTTCGGATTTTCACTTAGAAGCCAATTCGTTGTTGAATTTTTAAAAGAGGTCGTCCAGATATGGGAATTTTCCTCGGTTTTGTTACTCCAGACACTCTACTGATATTTAAAATGATTGGGGTTGTTAGAGTTGACAAATATTGGAATTGGCAGTGCGGTTTATTGCTTCTTGGTCCGTCCGTTGATTATATCACCTGTAAATATCGTGTCATAGTTATAGATTTAGTTACTATCAACTCGTGAGTATATATATCATGAAACAGAGGTGTTTCAGATGAAAAACTGAGATTATTCGTGTACCCACCTCTGCTTTGTGCTTGTTTTTGCTTTTGTGTACTGCTTGCTTTGTGTTGAGCTGCATATCCTGGTCAACTAACATCGGCTGAAGATCAATAAGTCTGACACATCGGCAGTGGAGCACAACATATATATGTTGATACATTAGGAACAGAGCACAACACATGAATTAGTATGGGCATTAGAACTATTGGATACTTCACCTTTTTGCCTAAAATACCGGGGGAAAATTTCATTATAAGGCTTGACGTTTTGTTATTAAGGCTTGAATTTTTAACTTTTTCATTTGTGGGTTTCAATTTTAAGTTATTCTCAATATTTGAAATCCTTTTTGCCCTGGTTTCTTATTTTCAATTTTGAGTAGGCCGTATAAAGAAATAAGGGAACAAATCTATATATATATATAATTACTAGCTAATCCTATTTAATAAAACATTTAATAAAAATATTTTCACTTTCCCTCCAAAAGAAGTTACATTTTTTAATTAATTACTCATTAATCTCACATTTAAGAAGATTTTTTTAGTTAAACCTAATTAGTTAATGGCTAAATTTAAAAAGATTTTTTTTAATTAATCCCACATTTATGTTTCATATTCTCATCTATATATATAAACGTGACAATCATTATTGTTGTGCAGAAACTATATATTATTATTTTTTTATTCCATTATGAATTGAATAAGTAATTAAAGTTATAAAAAATATTAATAAATGTAATAAGTACAAACATTATAATACAGATCATGTTACATTATAATATTTTATTTTTTTTTATAATTTAATTTCCAGCCATACTCCATCAAACATATAACTGCAAAATGATAAGAAAGATTAGTTTCATAATTAAAATAAAAATTTATCTCCCCCAAATGGTAAAACCTTATAAATTAGTAGTATAGATTCATTTAAATGACATATAATTTATAAAGTTAGACTATACGCATAATAAGATGAATTAATAAAAAAAAGTTAATGAAGTAAATAAACAAATTAACAGTCTATATAAATATTATAGCAAAGTCTATATTGTCAATATTACCATTTAAAAAGTTTATTGAAAAAACATATGTATAAAAAAAAATTCATATGATCATAAGGAATAGTGAAAAATTAACTATCTTTGACTTTCCATTTGGTAGTAATAATAAAATAGTTTATATTACTACTATTCAATAAAATGCATGATTTCTGCAGATTTGATTATCGCAATCAACATTCTGTTTTATTAATTAAAAAGTGTGCTGAATAAATTGTCTCATATTTTTCATTAAAAAAAAACTGTTGGCCGTGAAAAAAAAAATATTTCACAATTATAAATATAAATATGATTAATTTTCATTAAACAAGTGGCGGGGCAAATTTCTGCATGATTATAGCATCAAAACATATCCAAAATATCAATATTTTAAGGCATTAAAACCATACTTTCAGCAACGGAAAAGTCATATTAAACGGAAATTGGCAAAGTCAAAGAATGAGGATTGACAAGACATTGTATGTAATGGCATATTGTTGTATAATATAGAAATATCAAGCATAATTAATAATCAACAAAAAAGGTCAAATCTATGAAAAAAATCAAAATTAAAAACACAACAAATTATGTGGAACATTATTGGACACTATACAATATAGAAAAAATAATAATTTGATTTTCCTATCATTATCAACACATTCAACTTTTACTAAGACATCTGCCTTTATATTTTTGCGTAAAAGTTTTAAAAATAAAAATTCCTACATATTCTTTTAAACATTAAACAAGAAATTCCTAATATGCGATAAATATATGTAAACAGATTTGTTATAAACTTACCTAATATTTCTAAATTTGGAACAAAATACTAAAAACTTTGAAAAACTTCGGCAAAAGATTTTGAACAACTTCAAAAAGTGATTTTGAACAAGTGTTAGTAAAGCTTCACTTACTGATATGATGAGAAAGATGAGAAAGAATTGAACTATTTAGTGCTCAAAATCTGAACAAAATACATAAAAGTTACATATGTATGTTATAAACATATATGAACAGATATGTTATAAACTTACTTATACATTTGTTAGTAGAGCTAAACAGATCTGTTAGAAACTTACCTATTTTTCAAACCCTGAACAAAATACATAAAAGTTTAAAAACGTTCGACCAATGTCATGTTCTCTTCGAAAAACAATATCGAAAACATCTAGGTAATTTCGAATTATGTATAAAATATGATATATCTTTGAAGCTTATTCAAAAAGAATTTCGAAAAACGACACAGATCATTGAAAATAATAAAAATAAAAACTATGTTTAACAAAAAAATTTCAGCTCTTCATAGATTTGTAATATTATCGCCCAATTTTGACCGACCTGTTAATATTTAGCAACACAGATTAAGAAATCGGGACGAATATTTATTTTTCGATCACTACTATTGGCTACAAAAACAACATTTCTCGGTTTTTTTAAGCCTTTACTGGGAGTAAATCTCCGGTAAAACATTTATTTTGTATTGAATCTCGCCGAGTTTGTCGTAAGATCGAGTTAAGGATTAGGGTTTCAGACAGAGTGAATAACGAAAGAAGCGCCGACATCAAACAAAAAAATTGGCTTACATCACTCAAGGAGTTTATCTCTATTTATAGTCATGTTATCATTGACATGTTTTACATCATTCAATCAATATATTTCTTTATGGCCCAACAATTGCCATTTTGTTCAAATGTTTTAAATATTTGGCACATATCTTTATTTATCAACCAAATACAATTATTTATTTTGTAATATTTTGTTGGTAATTTTGTAATATTTTTATTTTTAAATTTCCTATATGATATATAGTACAAAATACAATAATTATTTAAAAAATAAAATCATTATATGTCTTAATTTGAAGATAGTTATTTGCAGTGATGGAGATTTTGTTGATAGAAAAACCACAAACGTTGTATATAAAGAATTGTTTAACAATATTTAGTTATTTTTTTAGAATATTTTTCCAATGATAATATTATGATTTTTACTATTGTTTATATCTTATTATTATTTTTTGTTCTATTATATGCTTTCCGTGCAAATGCACGGGTTAAAAACTAGTTAAAGGAAAGAGCATAGTTTCACAGTAAAATATAATATAATAATATCTTAAAGACAACCACATTAATTATTTTCAACCTTTTCATAGCAAATATTTACGTTGGTATATTAAAAAGATACAAAACTGAAAAGCCTAACCAAATTGGACCAACTGATCTACCAGATTTTATATTGCAATTCAGATTTTAACTTATAAATCAAATAGTTAGGGACATTTCTTAATTTTGTGATCTTTTAAGTACTGTAGTCATTATATTAGGCTAAGAAAATCTAACAAG